TTTGCTGGTTGTTCCTCCACGCGCACCGCCACCGTGGCTAGTGGCGCCCGCCGTACTCTGCAATGATATTGTCGCAATATAACTCTTCTCTCCATGTACCCTATCAGAGCTTTGGGGACTATCTGGACAACATCCCCCTGTCCTTCATTCGAAACACAGATTATATTATTTTTGTCACGGATGCAGCCGCGAGTGTATTACCTCTGGACAAACTGGAATATCATTCGTCGACTTGGCTGGACAAGCGCCTTATCGGTCGGCTCCCTGCCTATCGCATAGCCGGAATTGACCAGGGCACAGACTCGCAGATGGCCCAAATATATCGGGGAGTCAGGTGTGGGTGGCCCTTATCAGCTTCAGCCAAGCCATTTATGTCTGTGTGCTATGCTTCCCAACTTCCGACGTCGGTATACATGTAGGCGTCGGACGCACACTCTCAGCGCCGTCCGGAGGGCGCTGGCAAAGTGTGTTCAGGCGCTACCTCGGCTGATAGACCGGCGAAGACAGAAGCACATCGAAGTGCTATCGAAAATGCCATTCAGAGCGATCGCGCTCCGACACTGTATTCGGCCCTTATCTTCTTGTGATCTGGATTCCATGGAACATAAATGCTCACGGTGCCTAGATATGATTTGCGGATACTCCTCCACATGAAGAGGATATTAAAACTGCACTTGATCCCATAGCACGCTTCGTCTCTTCCGACCCGTCGCTCTTCGGCATGTCTCTTGCAGATGTCTCTACGCTCACCCACCGGGCACAGACCCATGAGAGCGATTCTTACGACGAGAAGAAGTCTTCCAATGACGTCGACGTCGTGAGGGACGTCAAGGATGCTTACAGCGACCTCGAGAAGACAGAGGTCATCGAAGTCCCGCCCGAGGAGACAGACGATGTCGTCCAGGATGCAGCTGATATCGCCACTCAGGTGAGAATGACCAGGCTTGCATGGACTTGAATTGATCTCGTTCCTCCACAGATTCTACATGTGGAGGACGACCCTACGCAGCCCGCCATGACGTTCCGATTCTGGTTTGTAAGTGGACAATCTAATCCTAACCTCCTCACGCGACGCAGCTAAGATCGATACAGTTGGGTCTTGGCCTTGCCGTTTTTGGTAAGTATCTCTTTGCGCCAACCAGCTACCGCATACCAATATGTTCTGCAAGGATCCGTCCTATCGGAGATCTACTGGTGGAAGCCACAGAACGCCACCGTATCTGCCCTCTTCCAGCTCATCATATCCTATGTCCTTGGGAACGCGATGGCCCGTAAGCTTCCCTACATCTCCGCTCCTTGTACTTCCTAACTTTTCACTCCAACTGCTACTTTTATGCAGAGCTTATTCCTACGAAGGGCCTATTTCGCTACCTTAATCCTGGACCATTCAACATCAAGGAACACGCCTGCATCGTCATATTCTCATCCACGGCGTCGACCACTGCGGATGCTATCAGCATCATCTCTACGCTGGATTTGTACTATGGCGTGAAGCTGAACCCCGCTGTGGCGATCTTCCAGACGCTGTCCAGTCAGTTGCTCGTACGTAATGCGAGTATGGCGCAATACGGGTCTCGTGTAGCTCATGGCGTATCGACTTTGCTAGGGTTATGGTTTCGCAGGAATTCTGAGGGTGCTGCTAGTCTGTGAGTCGACATGACGTTTGTTCAGCATCAGATTATCTCACTCACCTGGATTCATGAAGTCCCGACTTACGCCTTATACCCTGCCACCGTTCCCACCGTTAACTTGCGTAGGCCGCCCACTAATGGTGTACACACAGCTTAATTACTGAATTACCCCGATACAGTGCAAAGCATGCACACCGGTAACTACCTCAGCAAGAAGAAGATGCGCTTCTTCTGGATAGTCTTCACTGCCATCTTCTGCTGGGAGATAGTACCGTGAGTCACACTATTCCGTTCAATAAATTCTGAAACTGACGAGGGACGGCACTAATTAGCACCTGGATGTTCCGTAAGCATATTGCACCGCTATACTCCAGTATTTCAAGTAGCCTAACGCGGTTTGTCAGCTCTCTTGACAGCCTTCAGCATTGTGTGTCTTGCAGACCGTGGCAAGCACGACTTCGTGAGGCATGTAGCCGAGCATGCTCTCTCCGAATATGCTCAGGAATGGCTACTTATCATTATCCTTCAGGAACCTGTTCGGCGCTGGCTCCTCCAACGAGGGTATCGGTTTATTGTCATTCGGGTTTGATTGGTGTGCAAAGTTCAGGCCCGTGCTTGCAATTGAAGTTGATCTAGCGGTGATAGGACACTCATCACTCAGGGACAGCCGCTCTACTGGCCGCTGCAAACCCGTAGGACATTATTGACTTGTACTCTAGTATTTGATCTCACCACTCGCTTTCAGAGATATCTGCATATATCGGGATGTTTGGAGGATACATTCTCCTTACTTCTGCATACGTGAGTGAAAGAGTATCTTGTCCTGGCTACTGCTACTGAATTCCCTCCAAGTATGCGGACGTCTGGAAGGGCCGGGTACGAAACGATGACTTCCTGCCGTTGATTTCACGCTAACCATGATTTCGTGCAGTCACTGGGCCTCCCCTTCATGTCACAGTCCCTCTTTTATGCTAACGGCACCACATACGACCAAACCACGATTCTTAATGATCAGCAAGAGTTCGATCCGCAGAAGTACGCGCAAGTGGGCCAGCCATGGTACGCAAATTCAATTCTCATCGATGTGACGACCGATTCTGATATTCCGCCAACTAGGCTGACCACTACATACGGTCTTTCTCTTCTGTGCTATAATTTGGCAGTCGGATCCAGTTTCTCTCATGTGTTGGTGTGGCATTGGAAGGAGCTCAAGGTTCGCACCTGGATCACAAATTCACACACAATATCGTCCTAATACCCGTTCGTAGTCCGCATTCTCCGGGTTCAAATTCCTTAGGAATGTCAGGGATGTTGACGATCCTCGTGCGTATAATGATAGCATTCGAGGCATTAGGTATCTGACGCACCTTTTCCACAGACTTCGAGAGTACGCTAGACAGCCTTCAACGTTCGGAAAGCCTCTAACCATAATGCTGCAGAGATGAAGGTCTACCCTGAAGTTCCGCAGTTGTGGTACATTGGCATCCTCCTAGGCTCCTTTGCTGTAGGTTGCGGCACCTTGTACACACATACAAACTATTTGCCGGGCTGGTCCATGCTTCTGTTTGTCATCATTTGTGCGTATTCTGCTGTGGAATGGCTTGTCTACGGGCATCTAACACTCGAATTAGCGTTCGTCATCACGACATTCTTGGGTTTTGTTACCGCTGTTACGTGAGTTCTGCTTAAAGATTATAGGCTGGCGATTTCTGATCCTTTTTTCAGCGGTTTTTCGCAGCCGACCCAAGGCTTGATCCAGCTCATCGCTGCCTACGTTCATCCTGGCAAACCCGTCGCGAACATGTACGCTAAGCTTTACGGTTACAGCACAGGGTAAGTCGATAACGATCACCAGCTTTGTATACTGAGATATGTCTTCCGGCTGCCGGCTACCAGCTACCAAGCGCTTTATCTCTTACAGGATCTTAAGCTTGGCCAGGTATGTTTATCTATCCTTGCATCGACAAATGAGCTCATTAGATGTCGCATAGTACTGCAAGGCGAGCTTTTAAACCGGCGTGCATAACAGCGGTCAGGGTGTTGACGAACGGTTTGGCCCAGATCCCTCCTAGGGCCACTTTCACCGCTCAAATATCGGGCACGATCGTTGGCTCCATCATGAACTACGTCCTCATGAAGAGCATCATCAGCGCACACAGGGCTGACCTAGTTGATCCCATCGGCACGCGTCTCTGGTCTGGGTGGCACGCCCAGTCTTTCAACACGCAAGCCATTACTTGGGGTGCCCTGGCCAAAGAGATGTACTCACCCCATTCTACATACTTCTGGATTCCCATGGCAATCTTGATCGGCTTCATTGCGCCGTTCATCCTCTTCGGGCTGCACCAGGTCTTTGGCAAGAAGTACGTGAGGTAAATGCATTTCGGATGTTGTACTAACTCGACACCCAGGACGGGCATCTTCAAGTACATCCTCGTTCCCGTCGTGACAAAGTGAGTTGTCAAGAATAACAGCCTACTATGTCGCTTGACCACTGGATCCAGCTACTTGGGCTACCTTCCTTACTCCGTGAACGGACAATGGTGGACCTGCTACGTCATTGGCATTGCCTCTCAATGGTATGTTCCGGTGATATGTTTTTCGTGATCCCAATTGACAGTCCTCCAGGTGGGTTCGTACCCGTAGACCGCGTTGGTTCAAGAAGTAAGTGTCATCGTAATCTAGAAACTCTTCTCTTTGACCAATCCGTGCAGGTACAATTACCTTATGAGTGCCGCATTGGTAAGTCTTGACCACCTTAGGTCTACTTTGAATTTCCTAAAAGCACGAATTCTTTCTGGGCGACATATAGGATGGTGGTAGTCAGGTGTGTTACTCGTCATTTTAATGCAATGCCTCCCGTTCTGAGTGCTATCTTTAGATCATTTTCTTCATCTTGAACTTCGCCGTATTCGGTGCAAGCGGTAATGGTGTAAACTTTCCAACTTGGGTACGCAATACTCTTGTATATTGTCCTGCAAGTCCTAAAGCCTGTTTGCGTGCAGTGGGGCAATCCGTCCTCCGACAGGTATGTCCTTACGTGCATGCAAAGGAATACCCGTTCTGATTACCTCTGTACCTAGTGCATTGTCTGTTGATAGATGCAAGGCTACCGTATCATGATCGTCATCCAGGGATTCCTTTCTGTATGTAGAGTATTATACTGTTGTAAAATCTCTGTACTCGAGTCGGGATTAGACTCCTGGCAGATAACAATGACCGAATGTAGGGTCATTCCGTTTTGCATCATCTTCAAGTACTCGTTGCATGTGTTCTCGCGTAGAAGCAATGAGATTAGGACAGAAAAGTGAAGTTGAAAATTAGCACTACATTCCGGGCGAGCACAAAATGTCACCTGAGAATGGCATATGCATTAAGCGAGAATCGAACTCGCGGCCAGTCGAGTAAACAGCCACTTCATGGCAACGACTGAGGTTACCACTACCCCATTAATGCTTACAGATAGCAGTCATGATCTAACCATTAACTGATTAGTCTCAGTGTTTCGAAGATTCACATGCTTCCTCTACCCAACTGTATCACGAGCCCGAACTATCCTGTGATGCTACGTTAATATATAAATTATTAGTCCACCCTCCGCAAGACACGTAAAAGCGAACTGACGCTCAGTGTCATCGCGTGCTCTAAACTACCGTATCATGTCTTATCCTCTCCAGTTCCCAGCCGGCGGCGAGCCGATCTTGACACTGACGCACCGTTCGTACGCACACTCGCGTATTCCACAGAGATTAGTACTCATATAGAAGACCTTTCAGCTTCCTCGTCTCTTTGGGTCATTGAGCTGCACAACGGAGATGACAGCCGGTTGACACAGCTCCTTATCGAGAAGTGTTTGAAGCCTGCGTTGGACATCGTGGAAAGACATTGGAGGGAGGACAGGCGGAAAGCTATTGCGGCGAAGGACAAAGAGGGAGGCAAGGGTGCGCTAATCATTGTTGGTAATACGAAGCAGGATAAGTTCTTCAGCAATGGTGAGGCATCTCAGACTTCGGTGGTGCGACACTGATCGCTGGCCGCCTAGGACTTGATTTTGCTAGTATCAGCAGCGACTCTAACTTCTTCGCCAGTATGGGTTCACTATCTTGTTCACTGGGCGAAGCTGACTATGACTTTGTAGACGTATTTGATCCCCTCTTGAAGCGCATCCTTCTATTCCCAAGTAAGTCTACTCCCACCAGCCCGGGAAAGCATCTCATCATGACGGCACTCAGTTCCTACCATCGCTGCCATCAACGGGCATTGCTTTGCGGGCGGGATGATGTTGACTTTGGCATGTGACTATCGGGTCATGACAGATGGGAGCAAGAAGAACGCATGGATGTCCATGAATGAAGTAAGCCAGTTACTTCCGTCACATTCTCTCAACCTGTTGATCATGATCACCGTTCCACAGGTACATTTTGGCGCACCCTGGCCCCACTCCTTCGCTTCACTCTTTCGAGCCAAGGTGGCGAGTGCGCAGCTGCAGCGAAAGATTGCCCTGGAAGGCTACCGATTTACGCCCCCCGAGGCTCGTGATGCTGGGCTCGTTGATCATCTTGTCCAGGGCAATACAGCAGCAGTACTGAAGGCGGCACAGGAGCTCGCCGATCGCGTCGCTCCGCTGGCAAAGACTGGTGTATTCGGCCTGATCAAGGTTCGTCCCTGAATATGTTCCTCCTTTTGCCTACATATTTATCCGCCTCTGCAGACTGACCTCTACAGAAACGCCGTGGAAAATATGGAACGCCAGCTGAGGTATGTGAATGCCGAGATAGATGATGCTGCGGCCAAGGCGCGACTTTGATTGCTTGATCACGGTCCGTGTCGGATGGATTATCCTCGTGCATATGGCAATTTATGTTTGTCATATGTATACATGTTATTTGGGGCTCACTGAACGGCATAAATATTAAATAAAACTTAAGATCGGGATGGGCTCAGAGAGCTATGTGGCCAAACCCAGGTACCGTCGGTGTGGCTGACGCGCCGTAGGATCCATTGACGTTTAGGACACTTCGGGAGTTGCACTCTTTTAGGCCTAGCAAAAGGTTGATCAAAAGGGATATCGAAAAGATAATATTTAGGGATGCATTTTGTAGACCTCGAAATGTGATATTTTGACATAGCTCAAAATGGAATAGGAAAGGTTATCTTCAGCATTAACTAGTGCAATTTGCGAAAATATAATAAACTGTTGCCTGATATAGTAATTCTTTTTCAACTTCAAAAAAGATGATCTTTAAATCACGTGACCCCTGCCAGGATAATCCCTTTTGGGGCGCTGCAAGAGTTTATATGGTGGTAACCGCTTTAAATGGGCACAAAAGATCTATTTTTACCCTTGCAAAAGTATTTGCAAAGGTAATGGCAAAGATAACCTTCGGCATTTCATTTTGAGACTGTTTAAAATATTGTATTTTGAGCCCTCTAGAATGTATTCCTAAATATAACCTTTTTGATATCCCTTCTGATCAACCTTTTGCGGGGTCCAAAAGAGTGCAACTCCCGAAGTGTGGCTTAGAGTTGATGATTCCCTCGGTATAGATCTTCAAGTTTTTGGTGGAAATTAGGTTTTCTCCCCATACTTGCGATTTACGAGAGCGGAGTGACACGCGAGTGTTCTGATTGACCAATGAGCGTCCTGCGTCTGACAGCCACACTGACTACATTTGGGTTTGGCGCTCCAATATTCAATATATTGAGCCGTTATTTGGGGGTCAGATTATTAAAAGCCGTATGGCAAGGAAGCTGAGATCTCATGTGCGTGGTCGAGGACCTGGCGACCAAGGCTACCAACGATCAGGAACTCTGACTACACGCGACCAGAGTTGTCTTGCTCACAGACCGCTGTCCATTGGTCAAGGTGTGCGTGAGACGGAGACTCCTGGGGTGCCGCTTGAACGCCGGCATGAGCTGGGTGCACGAGGATTGTGGCTGCTCTGAATTTATGATTGGACTCGTTGTACAGAAGACGCTCAAACAGTTCATTTCTTTTTCTTTTTCTATCAAACATGCTGTACCGCAGATCCAGCTCAATGCATTCGAACGACAATGGGAGGGACACGTGCAGTGAAATGGTGGTTGCCATCCACAAACTCGGCTGCTTTGGGGTCTATACTTGGCAACAAGGAAGCATCAGCTCTTGTTCCGTGGGCCGGCTTCCGCAGCAGCGTATAAGAAACATCCCCCTTCGTGAAATGAAGCCATCCTCCATTGCCCTTCCGCTGTTTGTCTCGAGGCCGGGTCCTTGATTTCTCTTTCCTTTTCTTCTCCTTTTTCATTCCAACGGACTCCATTTTCTTGACTTGAAGTCTTAGGTATTCTTCCCGGAAGGTAGACTCAAGTGCAGGCACCATGCAGCTCGGACTCTCGTTTTCTCTGCTTCTGGCAAGCTTACTCGTCGCGCTGTCCTCGTCTGAGGTCAACGCGGCCCCCTTGAAGCGAAACGCAGGGATGGTCACGCTCCCCCTCAAGCGCGTCCATCAGGCGCGCGATGACATCCACCCGCAGATAGTGCGCATTGTTCACTTGTCTTAGGAGGTGTTTTAACCGCAATAATTCCTACCAGCTGCTGCAACAGCACATGAACCGCGGCCATCGTCGTCTTGCCCGTATGACTGGCCGTGCTGCTCCTAATGATACCGAGCTCGAGGCTGCCCTCCACAAGCGGATGTATCTCCTCCCGTACGGCCCAGGATCAAAGAGGCCAAGCAAGCGCTACTACAGGGCTGGTATTGCTGAAGCCAAGGCCAAGTTGATAGAAAGCATGACTAACAGTGCCACTGCGGAGACGAACGAGGCGTTCTCGTTCGGAAAGAAGGGCAATAAAGGGTGGGTGTCATTTTCTTCTCACTATGAAATGGTTTTGAACGCTAGTTTGTGGGGAACAGGCAGGGAGCAGCGGGTCAGGGAGCAGCGGGTCAAGGCGCAGCGGGTCAAGGAGCAGCGGGTAAGGGATCGGCGGCTAGCGGATCCGCTTCTGCTGCTGCCGCGTCTGCGACCGGTGCTGGCTTCAGCGAGATCGACCTCGAGGCGTTGACCAACGGCGGATTAACGGACGCGAACACTCCCACCACTCAGAACTCGCTTGGTCTCGATATCGAGGCCAACGATGTCGGGTACATTGCCACGGTCCAGATGGGCACTCCCCCGCAGGACTTCAAGCTCTTAATGGACTCTGGTTCCGCTGATCTCTGGGTCGGTTCAGAGCAGTGCACGTCAACCGGCGGTGGTGGATGTGTACGTTAATAGACCTTACGCTTGCCACCCGCTGCTAATTAATACCACTTAGGGTAATCACACCTTCCTCGGATCGAAGAGTTCTTCTTCGTTCGTGGATACTGCCAAGCCTTTCCAGGTCACCTATGGAACCGGTGCTGTTTCTGGTGACATTATCACCGACAACCTCGTCGTTGCTGGTCTGGCGTTGAATGCTCACACCTTCGGTGTCGCTACACAGGAGACCCCAGACTTCTCCAGTGACGATGTGCCTTTCGACGGTCTGATGGGCCTGGCTCAGTCGGTGAGTAGCTGTATGATTGGCCTATGGAATGTTGATCCTGATTCTTTCTTTCCTTTTATAGACCCTATCGGAGCAGCAGACCCTCACCCCCGTCGAATCCCTTGCCAAGGCCGGCCTGATCAACGACGCCATCACCTCCTTCAAGATCTCTCGTGTCGCAGACCAGAAGAACGACGGTGAGGTGACTTTCGGCGGTCTCGACACCACCAAGTTTCAGACCAACACCCTCACGACTTTCGCCAACGTCAACACCCAAGGCTTCTGGGAGGGTGCCGTGGGTTCCTTCACTGCTGACGGCCAGGACCTCGGTCTGACCGGCCGCACTGCTATCCTCGACACTGGTACCACCCTGATCATCGCTCCTCCCCAGGACGCTGCCACCGTCCATCAGGCGATCCCCGGTGCCAAGTCGGATGGCCAGGGTGGATTCACCCTCCCCTGCACCACTACCACTAGTGTGGCGTTGTCCTTTGGCGGAACTTCGTTCGCAATCGATCCTCGTGACTTGGCCTTCCAGCCTGTTGACCCCAACGACTTGACCGGTGACTGTGTGTCCGGTATCTCTTCCGGCCAGATTGGTGCCGCTACTGAGTGGCTGGTGAGCAATCGAGTCTATGCGATTGGCTTCGGGATGTGTACTGACGGGCTCGATATAGGTTGGAGATGTTTTCCTTAAGAATGCGTACTTCTCGACAGATGTCACGAAGAACCAGATCTCGCTGGCTAAGCTTTCTTAATCCGTCGTGCTATCGCTGTTTGTTGAAGTCGACTAGTCCCTCTGCTTTTGATGTTAGTTTAGCTTTCGGGTTAATCTCAGTTTCAAGTCGGAAAGGGAAATGCTGGACATTACTCCGCATGCCGTTTATAAGCTAGTGCAAGCAATGAATGCGGTTGTTATAATTATAACAGTAAAGTTTCTCTATGTTGCGGC